CAACCCTGGCGGTGTTTAAGGCCAGGCTGGAAAGGAGCAGCTGGGATGCAATTTGGCCTGTTCACCCTCTAACCCGAAGGCTTGAGGACCGCAGGCAGAGATTGTGGCTCTTTTGGGAGCATTTCCACATGAGAAATATGGATCCGTCCTCCTGTTCCAGTTTGTGCAGCTATACTACTCAACTCCAAGGGAAAAACATTCTTCAGATGCTGCTTTCAGGGAGCATGGCAGAGGCCAGAGAGGAAGCAGGCAGGTTTCTCTCACCCCATTGTTTGAGACTGAGTGCTACTGCAGTGTTTTTAACACCTGCAAAGCTCTGTGTGTCTTCACAAACTTGTAGCTTTTCATAACCTCTGTGTCAGGAAATGGTAAGAAAGCAGATGCCTCTCCAAGCCTCAGCCTTGCTGCTTGCTGGCTGTAGCGGGGGGGGGGGGGGGGGGATGCTGATCCTGGTGTATGTTGAGCATACCTGCCTTTCCCCAGCACCTCTGTGCTCAGCTTGGCTATACACAGGACAGTTGTGAGGGGTTGTGCTAATTGTGGGTTGCAAACTGGAGGCAAGTGGCTTTCAAGGCCTTAGCTCTAATTATCCTTAGCTCTAATTATCTGTAGAGCATCAAGTGATGTGCTCCTTCCCTCTGCTAGCAGTGTGTTAGCAGGGGCTCCTCTCAGTGTCTCAGCGGAGTCCCCCATCCTGGCATGAGTGATTCCCAGGTCATAGGGTGAGGCAACAGTGAACATGGGCTCTCAGCCAGGCTGTGCAGCCTAAATGGTGGGCTTGCAGGATGAAACAGCAAGCAGAGCAAAATCCTGGTGCTTCTAGAGATAGGACCTTTGTGGTTATCTTACCTTGGGCCATGCATCTCGAGTTGGCTAGTCTTGTCTTTTCCAGTGGAGGAACTGAACAAAGAGTTCAGTCCTGTATCTGCTTTACAATAAAGCTTCTGTGATTCCTGTGAGGCTGGAGATGAGCAAGAGGGGAGTAATGTGCAGGAAAGCCTGTGTTAAGCGGGTGCTCTGTCTCTGTGAAGAAGTGGGGCTCTGCTGTGTGCCTTTAGCACAGAGGACTCGCACAACTGTGGACCTGCCCTGGCTTCTGCCAGGAGCTGGATGTGCTTGTAAGAAATGGGTTCTGCCTCTGACTTGTTTACCAGCTGGGAAAGGTCAAAGGACCTAAATCTTGTGTTAACAGGCTTCCTTTGTGCTCTTGTTTTCCCAGGGTGGCCACTGACCACAATGTTGATAATACCACAGCTATCCTTAGAGAGTGGCTAAAGAACGTGCAGAACCTCTACCATGATGTGGAGTGGAGGCCAATGGAAGAGCCCCAGTGAGTACTGCAGTGATGGGCTGACTAAGGCTGTTTAGTGTATATGTCAGATTTTCTAGGTTTTCTGTTTTCAAACTAGGAGATGTACTAAATGTCCAAGCATTAAAATGTGGTGGGTTTTTTTTTTTCGTTTGTTTTGTGGTTTGTTTTTTTTTTGTGTGTGTTGGTGTGATCTTTGTTTGTTTGTGTTTTTTTTGTTTTGTGGTTTTTTTTTGGGGGGGGGGGTGTTTTTTGTTTTGTTTTTATGTTTTTGTTTTGTTTTGGTTTTTTTTTTCTTTTTTTTCTTTTTTGTTTGTTTGGTTTTTGTTTTTGGTGGGGTCTGCCACATTAAAGTCATGTTCTTATGGAGCCCGTGGAAAGGCTTTTGGCTTCAGTGAAGCAACTCATGCAGAACTTCGGAGAAGAAAGCATTGGTTTTCCCTTTCTTCAGGCTTTTTTGGGTTTTGTTGGTTTTTTTTCAAGGTCCTCAGTGCAGTGGTGGGGCATTTGTGGTACAAACCTCCAGGGAATGCTTGTTTTATTGACTTTTTTTAATCCTTTCATTGGAACTGAGTTTTCTTAATCCTGTCAAACTTAGCTTTTTTAATTACTGTAAAATTTTTTAAATTCTTAGTTCCTTCACTGGCTTATGCTGGCACTGTTTCAAAGTCCTAAACTGTTACTACACATAGGGATCTGTCTCTAAGTTTCCATCCATTTTTGTTACAGAGTGTTTGCTTTTGGACCAGTTTCTGAAAACAGACAAGTTCATAATTTCATTCACATGATTGGTTTTGTTGTATTGGGTGTTTGTAGATTTTAAGAGCTGTTATTGGGATCTATTAACAGTACTGATAATGCCCAGGCCCTGAGGGAATCCGAACTGCCTTCATCTTCACATTCTTAGTGTGTTGATTCTACTGGACTTAAGGAAGCTGCATGTACCTTCTTAAATTGAAAGCCTAGCAGTGGACAGATGACTTTCTGCCAGAGGGTTAAATGAGGCGAATCAACTTCAGTTCATTTTGGTGGGGTAACCTCTGCTTATGTGAGGTGAGGGGCTGCTGCTGTGGAAGAAACTCCTGGTTTTGATAGTGCTTGTGGCTGCTTGGTCGGCAGGAAATGCTGCAGCACTGCTTGTTCTCTGGTGCCCTATGTACACATGCCAGCACACAACTTGGAATAATTCTCCCTCAAAACCTCTCCTGGGTTGCCTGAGGTGACTTTAACACTTTTTATTTTGGAAAGAAGGCAGCAAGGGAACTTTTTTTTTTTTTTTGGTGGGTTTTTTTTTGTTTGCTTTTTGCTTTGGCGTTTTTTTGGGGTTGGTTTTTTTTTTTACTCCTGTAATAGGGCCCAGACATGGTTTGCAGTCACTTTTTGTTTTTCTTTGCTAGGTCTTACCCAGAAGAAATAGGACCAAAACATTGGCCAAGCTCCCGATTCACTCATGTGATGAAACTTCGACAGGCTGCCCTGCGTGCTGCACGAGAAAAGTGGTCAGATTATATTCTGGTAAATACAGGGTTTGATTTAACTGTCGTCAGGCAAAAGCTTTTCAGGTAGTCACTTTGATACTTGGGGCTGTGAAGAAGTTTCCTCTGCATCTAATGATAAAGCTCTCTGCAGCGAGATGCTCTGTGTTATTTCTTGGTCTGATGAGCAAGGGACTTTGCAGCTAGGGAGGTAAGTCCCTGGGTAAGCCCAGGCGGCTTTCTTCACGGGTGTCAGGTTTGAATATAGTCCTGGTCATAAGTAGGTACCCGCAAGGGTGCCCCAGATTGAAACTACTTGTTATTGATGAAATGCAAGGGAAATAGTTCTGCAGAAAAGTTGTGGGAAGATGCATGCCTTTGGTCACTACAGCAGTGGTTAATGGTGGTGTTGCCACCTGAATAAGGCAAGGGCGTGAGGCCTATTTTTAAGAGTTTTCTTGATCCTCTTCACAGAATAAGCTTGTCCTGGATTTTCAGCAATGTTTTTTTACCCTTGCAGCTCCCTTGCCCCCGTACTGGAATAACATTGAGGGGAGTCAGAGGGAAGCTCCACCTTTTCTCATCTCATAGCTTTGTGGTAGGGGCAGCCACCCATGGGCTTACCTATAACAGTGCCCTGTAGTATCAAAACTACCAGCTCAAGTGCTTTTGGTTTTTTGGATTTTTTTGCCAACCTCTTGCCTCTGGCTGTGTTGTTACCAAGAAGCTATCAGAGGAAGCATATCATTTAATCTAATAACAGATTTCCTTTTCTTTTCCCCTCTTCCTTCTTTAGTTTATTGATGCAGATAATTTACTGACCAACCCTCAAACCCTGAACCTGATGATAGCAGAAAACAAGACATTGGTGGCACCAATGCTTGAATCTCGCTCCCTCTACTCTAACTTCTGGTGTGGCATCACCCCACAGGCAAGTGACCTCATGAACAGTGCTGGGTGACTGTGCAAGCTATGCGTTCAAAGGCCTCCTGCCTTGTGTCTGTGAAGCAGTGGGCATTGTTTTTGTTCTATGGGCTTTGCCATCTGCTTTTTAGTGTCCTTCTGAAAAGAAACTGCTGTAGCTCTGGGACATGCAGAGGTGGTGTTAGCATATAGTGAGGATAGTCATGTCATGCAGTCATCTCAGCTTGTGCCTCTCGGTGGCATCCCAAATCTTGGGTGTGGGTATCTTTGGAAAAGGTCTATACATTTATAGGGAATCTAAGAATAAGGGTAGAGAGGATGTTTCAGTCTATGAATCTTTGTTTTCTAACTAACTGAGCTGTACATATCAGCAAAGGCATACATGTTCTGTATTGGGTGTGCAGGCACATGGCTGAAACTTGCTTTCTTATCTGAGATTCCTCATGTGAAAAAGCTGAATCTGGAGGAAGCTGAGCTTGCTTAGCCAAAAGTCCTGGGAAGTGATACAATCCCACTAACTGTATGAAAGATACTCGTATACCCACCAGAATTTGAGGTGGTTCCATGTTTCTGTAATGGCCTTAAAACTCTTGGTACATAATTTTAGACTAGCTTTTCCTGTACAGTGATGCTAATCTAAGAGGAATTTGCTTTTCTTTTGACAGCTCTCCATTATGGATTGGTTATTTTTCGTACATATGAACAAGATTTATGTAGTGGGGCAACACCTTTTGCTTTGTAGAGAGTGTGTGCTCTGAAGTGTGTACGTAAAGGGTACTGCTGTAAAGGACAAGTGCTGAGCCTAGAAATTAGTTTAATGTTACTTTTTCACATCATATATTGCAGAAAGTATCAGATACAAAAATGTTGTGTAGTAGAAATAGCATTATTTTTAGAGCCAAAGTGAAACTGAGCTATTGCTTTACAAGTTGTTCCACATTACTGTGGTGTGTTGACACTGGCTGGTAGGTAAGTCCCCACCTAGTCACTTGCTCCCACCTGGTGGGATGGGGGAGCAAACTGGAATGGCAAAAACAGGAAGGGGAAAAAAAGAAAACCAAACCCAAAAGTAGCTCTCAGTGGCTGAGATATGTGAATAGGGGAAGAAAAGCCCAGACAAAGAAGTGATGCAAAAACAGTCACCGTCAGCAGATGAATGCCCAGCCATTCCTCAAGCACCAGTTTCTTTTGACCCCCAACACCCTCTCCTTTCTATATCCCCCCAGTGTTATTGCTGAGCATGATGTTATAAAGCACAGAAAATCACCTTGGTCAGTTTGGGTCAGCTGTGCCAGCTGTGTCCCCTCCCAACCTCTTGCTGTGGGGGGCAAGTGTGAGCAAGAGTGAGAAGCGGAGGCCTTGTGCTGTGGAAAAACTATGCATCAGCAGCTAAAGCATAGACATGTTATTAATACTGCTTTGGTCATCAGTCTAAAACACAGCACTATGTGGGCTGCTATGAAAAAAATTACCTGTGCCCCAGCCAAACCCAGTACAATCACCTTGTCCATAAAAGGATTTCAGCAGCGGAATCAAAGGTATAGAAAGTCAGATCTGTTGTCACAGTAACTTTTTTCTCTTTTTCATTCTCATCCTTTGAAATGTTCTTGACTAAGCTCTAGATGGACTCTGTGACACATTCAAGCTGAAATGGGGACTGTAGTTAATGCTTTTCTTTTAACCCAGCTAAGCCTCAATAATGAGATCAGCTTTTTGACCTGTTGGCCAGTCTGCTGTTGGCATGTGTTTTGGCATCCTTTGAGGAAGTGGGTTCTTAACCTGCATGTCTCCTAGAATAGCAAGAGGGTTTATGTTCTCTTGAAAATTTTCCGTTTTTGCCCACGTTGACCCTGCAAAGCTTCAGGATTTCCTTTTTACATCCAAGCCCGAGCCTTGTGTTTCCTTCTTCATAAAGGCAAGTTTGCCCTGCTGCTTAGATGAATGAGTTTAAGCCTGAGCTGCGCATAAATCTTTGAGCCTTCCCTCAGGCATGTGAGTAGGAGTACTTTAGAGAGGCTCCATTGTCCTTCCTTTCCCTCCCCTCTTGCCTTATTCTAGAGAGCTAACCAGATACTAATTGTTGTCATCACTGCTGGAGTGAAACAAAAAGCAAACTCAATTTACCAATTCTTCTGTTTACATGGCATAAAAAGAAAAAAAAATCATTCTTCCTTCCCAGTGTTACCAGGGACAAAACTAGGGACCACAGACAGGGTGAAAATATAACGGTTGTACTGGGTCAGACCAAAGGTCCATCTGTTAGCAGCAGTTCCTAGCAGATGCCTAAGGAATACTGTAAGAACATGGCAAACAAGTGAATGATACTTCCCAAAATATTTTTCTATCCTCTAGGAATCTCCTTCATGAGTTCTTAAGGAAGGTCTTTGTGTTTAAAGCCCTCAGGGATTTTTTGGTTTGGTTTGATTTTTGGTTTGGTTTTGGTTTTTTTTTTGTTACAGAAATCACTGTCTAATATTTTTTTTCTTTTTTGGTACGAACACCATCTTATGGCAAGGAGTTCCACATTTCAGACTAGCTAAAAATAGCTGGATTAGTCCCTGAACTTTCCAGATTCTTGGAAGTAAATACATAGAAAAGGGGGGTGTTCACTTGTTTCAGTTTTTGTTTTGAAATGGAGATATAAACTTCATAGCGAAGGCATTGTCGTTTAAGTTTTTAAAGTTAAGTCCTGAGACAGCCGAATTTTCCACTAATGTAAATCAGCATTGCTCCACAGGCTGAAGTGGATTCTGCCTGTGTGCCCCAGCCTCAGCCTTGACCCCTAGTGTTACCTAGTTTCCATCATTACGGGCATTAGCTGTCAAAAAGAGAGTGTGTGTGGGGAACATAGCAGCAAATGCATCTGGCTGAATTTTGGGTGAAAAGCTGCTCAAGTGGAAAATTCCCACTTTATTTTTTCTTTTCTCTTAGTTGCTGCTTCTTGTTTCTGTGCCTGCAGTCCCACGGCTTCATGCTGTCAGCCTTGCTCTCCCCGGGAACTTGGTGAGGGGAGAACAGCCCTGAAACACAGCCTCTGGCACTGAGAAACCGCAAGCCAAACCCAGCTCCCGACCGCTTGACATTTAGTTGTCATGAAGCTAACCTTAGGGGAGAGCATGGCAACAGTGCTGACAAGTTGGCGTCTTTCTTGACTACACAGGATTTATGAGCAGTGAAAAGCTCCAAAACCCTTTAGTGAGTGTCTGGAGGAGCTCAGATTAAATTCCAGCATCTTTCACCTGTGGGCATTCTCAAATGTCTGTTAAAGTTTTAACATCTTAACCTCTTCTTCAGTGGGAATGTTAGTAAGAACTCTGCCTACTCACTCCTTTTCATGAAAATCAGACCAGCTGTGTTTGAGATACCTAGTCCTCAGAGTATGGTGAGAAAGCATCTGAAGGGCAGAGAGGAGGATTGACAGATACATAAACAGACAAATGCACCATACCATGCTTCTACACAAAACCAGGGTAAAGTGGTTCTGCAATGATTTGCTTGGGTGTTACTAGGATGCTCATGGAAAATATGACATAAAACTAACTTACTTTAGAATCATAGAATAGTTAGGGTTGG